AGAGAGAGAGAGAGAGAGAGAGAGAGAGAGAGAGAGAGAGAGAGAGAGAGAGAGAGAGAGAGAGAGAGAGAATACATCAGTCATTGACAGAACCTACGCTTTCATCCGAGCAGCGGAAGCAGTTTCACAAGAAGAGTTTGTTTACTTATGGTGTGTGTGTGTGTGTGTGTGTGTGTGTGTGTGTGTGTGTGTGTGTGTGTGTGTGTGTGTGTGTGTGTGTGTTGCAAAACCATTCCCCACACACAATTACCCTTCATTTCAAGCAGAGACTGAAGAGCTCATGCTATTTGCACAATTTCTTTCACACTTGTTACATGTTTTCATCAACAAATTGTCATGAAAGTATAAGGTTCCGCACGTTTGTGTGGCAGTCCCTGGCTCTTCCATGGGTTTGGGAGTAAGAGAGAGACAGAGAAGGTTGCTTCTCTTCCAGCATCCACATCACTGAACAACACTCTGCGGACGTGATGACAGGAAATCATATCTAACCAGATTTTTTGACATACGCCAAAGTCAATCTACCTACCCAATATCCTGTGCCAGTCCCACCAAGAACAGCAGATGACAATATCCCCTGACCTCAACCGCACTGTATACGCTACCCAGAGGCCCTCGACTCCTCCAAATGATTCCTCAACAGGTCGGTATCACAACGTCACAAGATAGCTATTTTGTCACAGCCCCTCGTTTGTTGTCCTCTTCTCCCTCTTGTCCCTCTCTGCCTACTGTTTAACGGGATGTGACCGAAAATGAAAATGTACGGTATGGAGTTGACTCTTTACTAGGCCTTTGGATTCACCGTTACAAAAAAAAACGAAAGGGTTTACTTAACTTTACTTTGATCTTGGACGTTTTCTGCAAAACATCGGAATCTGGATATTCACATATAAATTATCACAAAAGGTGACGCTGGGCTATATATATATAGTCAAACAGAGATGCCCGGTAAACCGTAGGCAGAGAGGGAGAAGAGGACAACTGTGGCAAACTGTTTCGTCGGAGTTTCACCGACTCATCAGGAGGCTGAACGCTCAACAGTCTGCAGAATCCCCTAACTGATTACACTGTAAGTGATAATCCACCTTAACCCCGGCTGTGGTTAAGCATCAACGACTGCCCGACAACTGATACCCTGAGGTGGGCACCAACCACTGCCCTCAAGGTACCTGTGGCAAAAGTCAACGCAGACTATCACTCACCCACACCAGATGGAAAACTCTACAGACTGTCGGTTCACACCCCATCACAAACAAGCAAAACACCCACGAAACAAAGAAAGGTCTGTCACAGCCAAAAACTACACTCCAGACACGCCGCTGACACGCCGCTGGCACTAGAGGCACATATATATAGAGCTGCCCAGTAAACCGTAGGCAGAACGGGGGAAGAGGACAACAAACGAGAGGCTGTGACAAACTGTTTCGTGGGAGTTTCACCGACTCATCAGGAGAATGAACCCCCAACAGTCCGCAGAATGTATATATAGTCAAACAGAGCTGCGTGGTAAACCATAGGAAGAGAGGGAGAAGAGGACAACAAATGAGGGGCTATATTTATAGATATATATATATATATATATATACGATCCCCCCTGAGAGTCATGCCCTTTTTTTTCCCGCAAGCATTGTTGGAGAAAGTCTAAACAGAGGGAAAACTTTAAAAAAATAATAAATAATTAAACAGAGGGAAAGGACAAGACAGTGAGCATGTGTTTCAGGAGCTAGGAAGCAGGACATCATGATGAATAGCAGTGACACACATTGTGAGGGGCTTGTTAGGAGATCGGTAAAAAATAATTAATAAATAAACAGAGGGAAAGGACAAGACAGTGAGCATGTGTGTTCAGGAGCTAGGAAGGAGGACAGCATGATGAATAGCAGTGACACACATTGTGAGGGGCTTGTGAGGAGATCGGTGCAAGGTAAGAGCGTGTCATTGGGCCATGCACGCGATTCGTTTCACATCACTTTTCTTTTCGCATTCGCTTGGTGTGCCAACGCACTGCACGGACGATGTGCACACGGCATCTGCTTGGAAGTTCGGTTCGTGCAAGTCCAACAAAACAGTCTGGCACAGTCATGCTTTTTTTTTTTTTTTTTTGGAGTTGTATGTATCGAAGAAGATGACAGCACACATGAGGTGGCGGGAAGGCAGGAGGACCCCCTACCAATGTATGTCCCCGTGCCGGGTCTGACAAGGCTCCCAAGTCCTGCACCTGCTGAGGCCATAGCTAAAGACCCAACAGCCCTGGAAGTATTACCAGCCATCTGTTCTGCAAAGACGGCAACCTCTACTCGAATTGGACGTCCTTCTTCATCTTCGTTCAAATGCCCAATCTCCTTCTTCTCGAGCCGCCGAAGGCGCCAGCATCTCACAACGCAAGTCGTCAAATCCGTCACACACTGCACTAACCATGCTGCAGCAATTTGCAACACGTGCGCTGCAATCCAAGACGGTGCAATTTTGTTTATCAGAGAAAAAAGGGAAACAACAGTTCGTAGAAGCTCTCCGTTGACAAGTAACAGAAACGAAAAAGTTGTACTAGTACTTCAGTAGTATTACACCATTTAATTACGCATCATCAATTGCATACAGTCACCAAAAAGAGGAAACAAAACAAAATGCCCCAAAGCTCATGCTTTCCAAGTCACAATCAGTCAGTCAACCCCCCCATATGTTTGTTAAAGGGGGTTGCGCTGCATGATAGCCAAAAATGGCCTTCGGCCGCCAGTACATCGGACTGCAAATTGTTGAACCAGAAGCTTTTACCCAGCGTGGCCTCCCAAGCCTGCAAAGTCAGGTCTACCGTTCACAGGGACTCCGATCGACATATGCATTTTGTTTGGCACATGTACTTTTTTTGTGCGCAATTTTTTTCCCCCGATTTTGAATTCTCCTAATATTTTTCCCTGATGCAACCAAATGCACTTCACAGTGTTCACAAATCTCTTTCTTTTTTCAGATCTTTTCGTGAAGGTGCCAGGTTCGAAGAGAGTTGCGGCCAGACCCAAAGCAGAAGGGGGGCCCAAGTTAGGCCCCAGGTACCTACCCAGCAGGCCTCAGTCAAGGTACCCACCAGGCACCTGCCTGGGCCGAGATCACAACCAGCCGATGGTGCCTACCAGCCCAGACCCTGTTTCCAGAAGTGACAAAAATGCAGGAAGGCCAGGGACAGAGAGACGTTGGGCGGCAGGCTTTGACGTGCGGCAGCACTGGAGCAGCGCACGCATGCAAGCTAGCACCCAGCAGCAGGCAGCATGGCGGTTGCTGCTGGCATGCACTCGCCATAGCTGGAAGGTAGCGCAGTGCAGGTGGTTGGCGAGGGAAGATAGAAGATCTTGGGAGAGAATGAGGATGTGGGGACAGCAGGGTACTTACCTGGAGCAAGGCGGGAGAGCACCTGTGCGATCAGACTCTTCAGCAACATCTGCTGAGAGGAGAGCGGAAGGAGAGTGAGAGAGAGGGGCTAGATGATAGTCTAGAGTAGGGAAGTAGTACAGACAGACACACCAGAGCTTAGGTCTACTACTATGTTTTTGAACTGATTTGAGGAGAGCGCCTTCTTTATCAAGAGACTTCGGTGATCAGTGTGTTCGTGGACTCGTGTGCTCTCTACCTGTCAATCCGGTTTTAGTTTGGTCTCACCGTGCATCTTCTTCCATAAGTTCGTGCTCCTCAAAGAAAAAAGTGTTCTCACATGCCGGCTCCTTGCAGAGATAAATGAGAATTAACGACCGCCAAAGTTGGGGCACTCATGCACCCCCCCAGTACCCCCCCTGGATCCATGAGGCTGGTCCTTTCCACGGCCACCATGTCCACTGGGGGCATTTTTACTGGTGGTCTACGAAATGATACGACTTGTCGAGCAAGAAGAAGAGCAAAACAGACCGCGTGGAAAATGCAGGAAAGCGTACGTGATTTTCATAATTTTAAACTCGTTCACATCACAGGAGCTCCGATGACAAGCAGCGGCAGCTGCAAACAAGTCAGTCTGATGACGCTGGTGGAGCTGCCGGTGATGATAAGGAAGAGAAGAGGACGCAGACAGTTCCAATGCATTTTAGACGTGGCCCTTGTTTGGAACATTCTAGCGATATGATAAACCGATTGTGTGTTTGATAGAGTCAGATATTCCAAGCACATTACAACAAAGAATTCATCATCCCATCCCTGTGAATGATGATTCTTTAGAGCTCATATATCTTGTCTGTTTGTCATTTAAAATTTTAAATTTAATTACTCAAATAGTCAATTACTCTTGTATATCGTATAATGAGCCTTTTCTCCAAATTAGTTCGGAAAGAGATTGTACTTCATTTTCATACAGGCAGTTCCTATGCATTTTAGTACTTCATTTCTCACACAGGCAGTTCGTATGCATTTTAGACGTCGCCCTTGTTTGGAACATTCTAGCGATATGCTAGAGAGCTTGCTTCGAGAAGATAGCATACGAACTAATATCTACAGCTTTTCGACAACATGATATTGTACGTGTTGCCAAGAGCATGACGATAAATAACCTAAATCGGCGTCAGGTCTCAGGTGGATGAACTCAGGTTGTAAACTGAGGTTGATAAACTAAGGCTAGAAACTGAGGTTGATAAACTCAGGCTAGAAAAAACTGAGGTTAATAAGCAAGCTCAGGTTATAAACTGAGGTTGATAGGCTCAGGGTATAAACTGAGGTCGATAAACTCAGGTTAAAAACTCAGGTTATAAACTCAGGTTGATAAACTCAGGTTATAAACTCAGGTTGATAAGCTCAGGTTGATAAATACAGGTTGATAAACTCAGGCTATAAGCTGAGGTTGATAAACTCAAGTTTATAAACTGAGGTTGATAGGCTCAGGTCAGAAAAAAACTGAAATGTTAATAAGCTCAAGTTATAAACTGAGGTTGATAAACTCGGGGGTTATAAACTGCGATTCATAAACTCAAGTGAATACTTCATATAGCTGTTCAGAAGATGTCTATGGATGATCATCACCAGTGATAATTCTCAAACACTAAGGTGTTAGAGGAAAGCAAGGAATATTCAGCATTCCGCTGCAACTACGACATTTAGCGCAAAAGCTGAAAAAACAATGAGTTCACAGTGCCAATCAAGCAGCAGCAGATAGGCTGGGCATACCCACCTCTGACAGTTGTTCTGCACATTCGCAAAAACATCTGTGAGCCCCTGAAGTTCCTGGCCGCCTTTCTCAGAGCAGATTTCTGAATGTCTGCAAACAGCAAGCCCAACACACAGCACGCAAAAGCATGACAGCTGACTGGTCATAACAGCAGGAGGAGCGACAACAAGAACATAAACAAGAGGGAGGCGAAGAAGACGGCAAGAGAGAGGGGGTGAGGAGGAAGAGACAGGGAAAGGAGGAGGATGTGGAAAGGAGGAAGGAGGAGCAGGAGGAGGGGGAAGGATGCAGAGAGAGAGCAGGAGGAGGAGGAGGGAAGGAAGAAACAGCTAATTTCTCTGATGACCTGATAACAAACGAATAAAAACACACAGAGATCGAGATGTGCCTCCCGTCTCATGGCTGGATTGGACACACCACATGTCAATCTACGGGCAAAGGAGAGTTCAAACGACCTCCCGTAGCAAAAAATATCCTCCTCTTTTGTTTTATTCGATTTTAATGGCTGCAATAGAAACCCAGACACAACACAAACAAGAGAGGAAGACAAGTGTCACTGGATGACTGAGTTGGACATCCAGTCGTCCGAACCACTCACTCCGATGCCCAAACTTGTCGAATCAATGTCACGATCAATCATCGAACTCGCTAAGAAAACTGCAATTGCAGCATGAGAGATTTCGAGTGCAACATCCTACACAGGCTCATGTCAGGGGGCCTCGCCGCACCACTTGCCAGATGTGGAAGCGGTCCCAGATGTGGAAACAACATAAGTATACCTTTCCACATTCTACCGGTAGAACACCTGGTCATTATAGCCGTATTTGGGGCAACTTTCAGTCTAGATACAGCGATTATGACCGGGCGTTCTATTCGGGTGAAGACAGTAGGGGAAGCTAAGCTACGTTTGACATGTTGCACATTTGGTGACCAGTGCCGAGAGGCCAGAATCTTCAACACAACACTTGAGGAGATGTGATCACAGCAGAAAGCAAGGCAAGGGCACCCCCTATAACCATTATTTGAAAAGAGTAATGCAGAAGGAAGAGGAGGCAGGTACGAATGATGCAACCTTCGGCTCCATTTTCCACAAGTCCCAAAGCGTCGTGTGCACGGTCCCGTCGGTTGGGCGATCTATCTACCAGCAGCTCCACGAATCCCATGCTTTTCGTTATCAGACCTTACTTCTCGCACACACCCCTGAAGAGCAAATAAGCATCAATCGGGGGGCTGTTTATCGACTCAAAGCACAGATTCCAAACAGTGAACAACAGGCACGCATGCACCCCGATGGCATGTCAATAATAGTGTGTGACAGGACTGTGTGACAAAAGGAGTATGTGACAGGAGTGTGTGACAAAAGGAGTGTGTGACAGGGGTGTGGGACAGGAGTGCGTGACAGAAGGGGTGACAGAGAGGTCTCTGTTCAGTTCCAAGCACGCAGTCTTTGAATTATTTTAGTTGGGAATGGGAGGGAGACGAACCTTTTGTCAACTTCCATGCAAGAGGGACAGAGAGCTTCTTGACTGCCACACGCTCCAGGACTCGTCTTGTTGTCGTCACTGCTAGCTGTGAGTACCATTATCACACACAAAGCCCAATAGCTCACTGGTCGGGGGGAGGAACATGAAAACGATTTAGCAGCAGAAAGATACTCATACGTGAGAATGCAACCGATCAGTGGTCGGTGATTCTTTGGTTCTGTGTTCTCTTTGCTTTTTGACCGTGTACTTGTCTTCAGTCAAAGGGATAAATACACAAACATACACCAAGACCTCTATTTCCCTTTCGGCTGAAATGCACCCGGGCATTCGGCATCTGTACGGGCCTACAGGCCAGGTGCTCACAGATGCACCTGGCCACCTAGCTGCCTGCATCATGCAGACGTAGAATGCACATGTTCAAAAGCAAGGTCCTCTTTTTGGCGCTTTTGGTTGTCCATGGTTCTCTTTTTGTGTAGTTCTAGATTCATAACCGTACAGGATTAAATCTATCACTACATCCATCGATGCGCAAATAGATTCGTCCTCTGTGCGGACCTACCAGCCAGATGAGTACAGGATTAAATCTATCAATACACCTCTCTTTCTCTTTCCCAATTAACCCAGAGTCGAACTCAGAGTCTTCACCTTCGAGATCTACTGCTAACAACGTGTACACACTCAAGATGAGTCCCAATGCTGCTGCTTTTTTCATTTCTTTCTTTTTATGTGCGTGTGTGTGAGAGCCTACATTCGCCTGTAAGGTACTACTCCTTTCCTCCTCGACTCCCTGCCGAATCATCCAATGACCATTTTTTTCCCCTTTGACCCCTCCAAACTGCCCATAAATCCCAAGCAGCCGTTGTGTACGGACTTTGATTTCCCAAATCTCAAGAGACAGACGCTGGCAACTTTGTGGCAAGGACCTCCTCAGAAGATTGTCTTCCCGACCAAGTTCCAGATCCATCCATAACGAAGACAGAGAAGAAGAACCCCATCAGGGTCGATATGCGCTGTCCAGGTGCAATACACGGACAATTACTTCGAATCTGGAAGAGATCTAACACATACCCCAGTAGGAAGTATAAACAAATTAAACACACGAGTTGACACGTCAAAAAAAAAAAAAGGGGAAAGAAGAAACACTGTAAATCGTTTTGCAATCGTGGACCTCAAAGGTCGATCACTCGGTCTCGCGGGGTATGTGTTAGATCTCGTCCAGATTCTAAGTAATAATTATCTGTGCATTGCACCTGGACACGTCAGTAGTATGAACATTAACTAAGTCGAAAATTAAAAATATAAATAACCCATCAGCATTTTCCTCTCTCGCTTCGATCGCTCTCTCCCTACTCTCCCTCCTACTCTCCCAATGATGGTTTTTCATATTCACAAGCGTGAGACTTCGCGAATGGATCGCTCAATCCTGACATCGTAGGCCATGCCACACCAGCACTTCTACGGATGAATGTGACCGCAATTGCCCGCCATATTCGGTGGAAAAAAGTCCTTGTGTGAGTACATGCCCTAACCACTCCTTAGATAGAAACCCGAGAACCCTCTCTTACCCGCGTTTCCATTGTGGGCGCCGATCGAGAGCCCAACCTCTCTGTGCCTCACTGGACGCTCCAGCTCCCATAGTACCCCGGTACTCCCGTTTCGCCGACCCGCGGGGAAAGAGAGGGTTAGCAAGTAGATTACGCTGTTATATCAGAAGTAGCTAGCAGGGGCTTCTCGCCTAGAAGCCTGCGGGTAAACAGGCACGCGGCGAGGAAGAGACGAACGAGTCCACCATCACTCCTGCACCAGCAATGGCTGGTTGATGCCGGTGTTGGGAGCGGTTTGGACCCAGTCCTGCACTGGGGAAAGGCGATCTGAGCTCTTCATCCGGCTACGGTACTTCACCTCACATTCCGATAGATATATAGATAGATAGATAAAATTGGATAAGATTAGATAAGGATAGACAGATAGATAGGCAGATAGATAGGTAGATTAGATACGATTAGATAAGATTAGATCAGGATAGATGGATAGATAGATAAATAGATAGATAAATAAATAGAAGTAGATATATAGATTGATATAGATAGAGCGATGCATCTATTTATTTTGTCACGACCGATGCATCTATCTATCTATCTATCGATCTCCCTTTCTTCTCTTTAAGACGGAGCCGAAGGAAGCAGGGATGCAGAGCGAGAGAGAGAGAGAGAGAGAGAGAGAGAGAGAGAGAGAGAGATGGTGCTCTGGCACTACGTACGACACGCCAAAATTTGACCAAAAGCAGAGAAAAGAACGTAGGCACTCAGACTCAAGGCGGAGAGAGGAAGAGAGACGGCGACCGACCAGCAAGTGCGTGAGAGAGAGAAATCGTGTCTTGTAACGAGATCGACAGTCCAGATCTTCCTGCTTCTGCTACGGTTCTTGTAGCGACGAAGTATACTGGACGTCAGCACTGTTACTCATGAAAAATAGAGAGAGAGAGGGAAAGGAGATAAAGAGAGGGATCGAGGCGAGGAAGTGAGCGAGGCAGGAAGAGGCAGGAAGAATAAAGAGGGAAGGAGAAGAAAAGGGCGCACGAGAGAGATGTGGAAGAAGGGTAGAAGAGAAAGCGGAGGAGGGGAGACGAAAGTACGAAAGAGCGAGAGGGAGGGGGAGAGGGAGAGGGAGGGAGAAGGAAAACAGACTGGAGGGAGAACAGCTGAGTTGATGCCCCGTCGCTTTTATAGTTGCACGGCGTGTCAACCAGTCGGACTTGCTGGAATCCTGAACGCGTCCAAGTAACGTGACGATCGACAATCTACACTAGAGAATGGCCTCGGCAGATTCTACCCGTCTTCACCCAAATACAACGTACGGTCATTATGCCTCAAGTACTTGAGGCAACTTCTAGTCTAGAGACACCAATAATGACCCTGCGTTGTAGTCGGGCGAGGACGGGTAGTGCTCCCCTCCATTCTGTATACGTACTACAAATTATGTATTACAGTATATACAGTACCGTATACGCCTGCCGACCACACTGGTATCGAATTGGTAGATCCGGTGCAAAATCTCGCCCAGATTTGCCTTAAAAGATGACGTGATAAAGAAAAATGGAAGCGCAACTTTCCTACCCCGTTAATGCTCACGCACTGAGCTTCCATATCCAAGGAAACATTTCCACCGCCAAGAAGCAGCGCACGAAATGGAAATGGACTGCATTAAGCCCAGGTTCATCCAGACTGACCGACAAGGTGAAAACAGGACCGCGGCAAACCTGGTGTCATTTGGGAAAGAGAGAGTGAGAGAGAGGGAGAGAGAGCAAGAGAAGAGAGACAAATCCAACCACTAACCCAAGACAGACAAGGGCCAAACGGACAGACAAACACCGGACGGGGATGAGGACAGAGAGAAAGAGAGAGAGAGAGAGAGAGGCCAAGGACAGGAAAATGGGGACTGAGAGTCGACAGGAGTAGAAAGGAGGGACGAGATGTAGTGAATTCATCCTCAGCCATCCATCGATGAATCTCTATTTGTTAGATGAGAGATGGTCTTCTGCCTGTGAAGCACCGTGTCGACAGAGAAGAGAGGCGGCGTGGGTGGCGAGAAGCAGAGGAAAGCACAGAGTTGTAGTGAGCGGGGGCGGCAAGCGAGCCGAACACCGACTCTGAGAGAGAGAGGGAGAGAGAGAGAGAGGGCGAGAGATAGGCAGACAGAGAGGAGATGAATGAACGAATGAATGAACCGACATACTCCTGCCATACCTCTCTGGCTATCGCGAGACCTGTGCGTTTGGCGTGCAGATGGACGTCTGGAGGAGGGAGCGGTGGCGCCGACTGCATCGCCGTCGCCATTGGATCTTCGTCGTCTTCATCCTCTTCATCAGGAGTAATGTAGTACTGCACAACCGGCATAAAGTGGGTGATGATTTGCCTTATTACTGTCGTGAAAAACGCTTTGCCCTGAAACGCTGATAACAATGACTTCAGCTCGATATGATACACTTTCCCATCCTCTGCCTTCACCATTTCCTCGCACCAAGCGACCGGAATCCACCATCGCCGGATCCTCCATCGCTCATCCTCTACGCTCGACACCTTCTCTCTACCACCTCCTCCTGGGCATCCTCGTCGGCAACGGTGACCTCCCTCCTGAGGTGTCCATTCCACGCGTCTCGATGACATCCATAGCGACGTGCATGATCCTCCTCCTCCTGGCGTTGATTCGCAATGAGCCGCAGGGAGAGAGCTGATGGCAGCCGCAGCGACCGCCGCCGCTATCGATCCCGACCCCGACAGCACCAAAGATGACGTCACGGCCAATCCAACACCACCACCACCACCACCAGTACGGAGTTCCCGCCATGCGGATCCGTTTCCTGCCATGCGGAATCGTTTCCCGCCATGACGAACCAACTCGGATGCAAGAGCCAAGCCTCTCGTGTTGGCCTCCCCGAACCCCATAACCCCCTACTGACGACAGATGTTCACCTCCAACCCGCCCGCCACCACGTTTCTCCCGCGCGCGCCCCCCCCCTCCCCCCCCCCCCCCCCCCCCCCCCCCCCCCCCCCCCCCCCCCCCTTCTTTTCCGTGCAGATCGGCAGCAACCACGTGCGCAACCGCGTGTCCGGGGAGAGTAGGAGAAGGTTAATCACTCTGTCTGATGCTCCTACATGGCGATACCTTTCCTACCACCAACGTCTACAGGTGTGTTCCCCTCCATAGCTACCGGTAGTGACGACCCAAGAAGAGGCCGCACGTCCACGACGCGCCTACAGAAAGAAACGCTACCTATCGCCGCCATTGACTGACTGATGATCATGTCCGTCCATGCCTGGTCCATCGGGAGGGTCCATCGGGGTCCATTTGCCGCCCGTCGATAGTCCTGGGCGCAGTCAAAGTCCGCTGACGACAGTGTTTCACAGACATTTTGTTTCGGTCCAGCACGACGTCGACTGGAAATCCAACTCCGCATCTACACTCTCCTTCGAGGCAGGTTGACAAGCACCGCTTGCCGCGAATTCGGTTCGGGCCTGCCCACACCACGCCATACTACTCACGAAAAGAACAAGTGTTCCCCCCCTAAAAAAAGAAGAAGAAAGCGTCAGTGCATCTCTCCATAGAAGCGAGCAACCGACATGCGCTACCGGTAGTGTAGTATTTCGGCAGCTTCTGCGGGAGGTTGCTCTACAGTTTTTTTCTCCCGTTTCTACCGCCGATGGCATCCTTGCGGTGGGCTGATTACGATTTATCTGATGGTATTGACTTCCGACCGATTTCATCAGTCGAAAATCTCCCATCATGGGGTTTATGGTTATGTGGCAATGGAAGTGGTATGTGCCACTACCCCATGGTGCCCTGCCTGTAGGAAACACTTGCACTCTGAGGGAGACCCAGAATGCACAGTGCGCAAGGGAAGGACATCTTCTAAGGTGGTCAGGAAAAGGGGGAGGGGAGAACGGGGGAGTCAGGGGATCGAGGGAGAAGGGAAAGGGAGTGGCAGAGGGTAAAGATGAAGGTGGAATTGGTGGAAGAAGTGGAAGAAGTGGAAGTGGTGGAGGCGAAGGGGGAGGAGGAGCGGACGGAGGTGGGGGAGGAGGTGGACCTAGTGGAAGCAGGGCCACCGAAGATGAGGGAAGCAGGGGGCATAGACATGATAGCCCCAAAAAGAAGGATGGGAATGGTGGAAGAGACCGGATAAACAGAAAAAAGGGGTGGGAATTAGTAGTATGGGATCGGACAGCAACGCCCGAGGGAGCAGGCAGTAAACCAGTCGCGATGGAGGAGGATCGAGTTTTGGTCAGAGAGAAGAGGAAAAGAGAAGAACTGACTCTGGATGAAGAGGGAGGTTCATCTGACGCGGCAATCAGGGCAGGGAAGGCCTTGATTCTTTTCAAGAACGGGGAACACAGTCTTAGCTCCCCGGTTCCTTCCTCGATTCCTCCTTCGTCCCTTAACAATTCTTATCTGGAATCTGCAGAGGAGGAGGAGGAAGAGGATCAGGAGGAGGAGGGGGAAGAAGATGATGAGTGTGGAGGCTGTCTCTTATACACATCTAGATGTGTATAAGAGACAGGGGCAGGGAAGGCCTTGATTCTTTTCAAGAACGGGGAACACAGTCTTAGCTCCCCGGTTCCTTCCTCGATTCCTCCTTCGTCCCTTAACAATTCTTATCTGGAATCTGCAGAGGAGGAGGAGGAAGAGGATCAGGAGGAGGAGGGGGAAGAAGATGATGAGTGTGGAGGTCTCGACATAACACACCTCCTGGAAGCAAATAAGAGTCACAAAGAGGATGGACACCCACGAGAAGACCGGGATGATAAGGAGGAATTTCGGCAAAAAAACTGGGGTGGTAATTCACTCATTCAAACTCCTAACCCTCTCCCCTCCCCTGCACAAAGTAAGAAAATCTTGAGCTCAGGGGATGATGAGTTTGTGGACACGACGGTTCTTTAGGTGGTCAATATCATACTGCCCAGGAGATTTGTCAGATTCAGAACAAGAAAGAACCGACCAGGACAAGACTGGCATTCTATCAGCTCCTGAGAGAAAAATACCTCACTCCCAGACGACGGATACAAAGCCAAAAGGGAAAAAATCAAGAAAGAACAATCGGAAATCTAGGAAAACTACAACGGGATTACATAACAGAGATGAGCAGAGCAAGAGTAAGGTTGTTCCAAGACACCCCATGACCTCGCTGTCAACGATCCAACCAATGAAAACGCTGACTCACAGGTGACTGGAATACCATATTTGATTCACGCTTGGATTGGGGTCTCGGCAGTCAGACATGATACACATATGCTTACTAATTTCAGAGACTCACAAATGTTGGAAGACATATACCGTATTCTCAACCCGGAAACAAGTGGTTTCACTTGGTACGAACCAAGACCATCTAAAAATTGTCCAGCCCCTGAGAAACGGTTAGATTTTATTTTAGCGAGGAGGGCGTCTTGGGACAGATGCATATCATGTGGATACTATGTGGAATTTGTTTCGGATCACTATCCAGTAGTTATTGACATTCTGTCTAATGACCTGATTGACAGGCATCGCCCTCCTTTCCGTTTAAATGTGGATCTTTTGAAAGATGAGGGTATAACCATCTGGGTCTCTCACCATATGGAATCCCGGGAGCAAGCCCAATATCTGTTCCAAGACACCAACACTTGGGCCGACACAGAAATCGGAATAGTGAGAGAAACCTTAATAGAGTTCTTCAAAATGAAGGTTGCTATCAGATCTTGGAAGGAACAAACTTTACAATCGTTTATCCAAAAAGTTAAATCCCTTATGGGGAGGGAACCCTTTTTGGATTATTATTGGATAGAAGAAAGGAACAAAGCCCTACTGGAATTAGAAAAACTGCAAATCCTTAAACAAAATGAATGGTTGAATTAGTTATACCTTAGGATAATAATAGGTTATAATAGAACGACCAAATTTTATTTTAGATTCTTCATCCTACAACAGACTAAACCGTTAACGAGAGAACGCGGTCACCCCTTCGCCCTAACAGCGCCAATAGCGGACGAATGTGTTCATACACATTAGAATATTTTAGGGACATTGTCTCCACCAGAAAGGCCCTTAGACCCCCCAAGCTATAACCTTTGTGAGTTTTCTAACTTATAGGATGAGTCCCTACAGACCATTGCTGCCCCAGCAAAAGCTCAATTGGACTAGCCCATCAATGAGCAAAAGTTATTTGTTGCAGCCAAACAGATGGCGAAAGGTAAGTATCACGGATTAGATGGTCTCCCCGTGAAACTATTTTTAGCATGTTGGGCCTCCTTTGCCCCCTTTTATGCAAAATTTACAATCTATCGCAGACCTCGGAAAAATTGCCCAGTAATTTCACAAAAGGAATAATTTCTTTACTATATAAGAAAGGGGATAAGAGAGAGGTCCGCAATTGAAGACCAATCTCGGTATTAAATGTCACTTACAGACTTCTCGCTAAAACATTAGCTCTCAGGCTGACACCACTACTCCCAAACTTGATAGGGTGGGAGTTGGGCGCATTTATCAAAGGAAGGTCTATCTTTGATAATATAGCTGCCATGATGCGGACCCTGCAGATTATTGGGGGGAAAACAAAGAGGTTGCAATTTTTTTTTTAAATATGGAGAAGGCCTACGATAAGGTAGGGTGGAACTTTGTTAACACGACCTTAGTTTCGTTAGGATTTGGGAGGAGGGTTTGTAAGTGGGTAGAAGCTAGTTATCAACACGCCTTTTCAGTAGTTATGGTCAACGGTCGACTTTCTGATCCCTTGGAGCTAACTCGGTCTCTGCAGCAAGGGTGCCCTTTGGTTTCCCTGTTATTTGTTCTTCAGTTATAAGTTTTTCAAAACAACATTAGACGTAGTATACGGATTAAGGGTATGAAGTTATCCCCCCCCTTTCAGTCGAAGGGAGGAGTGATTGCAGATGACCTTACCATAGCTAGTGAGAACACAACCGAATCGTTCGGTGCACTTAAGATGACTATTGATACTTATTGTTCTTTATCAGAGACATCGATAAATTGGGATAAGTCTGTTTACTTTCTTCCTCCCTCCCAAAATCCATGTGTTAATTGGGGAATACGGCAGGTGTCAGCTAATGCAGCGGATCGTATTTTGGGTATACAATTGTCTTTGTAAGATTGTTCGGCTGTGCAGGATGACATCTTGGCGAAAAATATGACGACAATAATATCTTGACGGGTACGCAGTCACAAGTTATCTCTATATGGGAGAGTCTTGGTGTTATCAGCAAAAGGCTTCTTTATATTATGGTTCTCACTCACGGTTCATAGACTGGGAAAAGGTGTCTATGGGAGGATCAAGGGAGTTGCAACTCGATACATTTGGAAACTAGCGGCTTCAGAGATCAAGGGGTAAAGTTACATGGGACACAATAGCAACTTCTAGAGAGAATGGGGACTTGAGAATTTTGGATCCGATGCAACAAAACCTGACTCTGTTGTGCAAGTGGGTGACTGCAGCCACATGGGGAAACATAACCAAATTGAGGGTTGTTCTGGATTAGTATATTATGAAATTATAATGGAGTTTGTCTAAGGATGATGACATGTGAAAATATATGATTATTCCTTCCTTTCCCAACAGAAGATCAAAATCCAGATTTTGGCGGGGCATCTCGCACGCTTGGTATAAGTTATTCCCTGGCAAGAGGAATCATCCAGCTACTAAGTTGGAGGTCTTGAATCATATAATTTTTTAGAACCCCCTGATTACTCAAACAAACGATTTCCTCTTTACTCCACATAGAAGAACAAGTAGTTTTCGCAAGAGTTTGATGGAAAAGGGCGTTATTAAGATTAAAGAGATATGAGACCATGATAAAGTAGATTGGTTATCCGCTAGTGTTTTATGTTTTCGTTTGTCACGCCTGCATAACGTAGAGGCAAATATGACTTCAATAGTTACAGTTATTCCGGATTACTGGGTAGGCCTCCTGAGGGGGCAGACTGAAGCCCCAACAGGGACATGGGTCAGCGATCCTACAGTCTCGAGACAATTTTTGAGAATCCTAGGTGTATTGATGAGACATAAAGGAGGTTCAATCCTTCTTATATTTTCGAAGGTGACTTAGAAAGATTCAAGCCTCATTATAACTAGCCTTCAAGTCTTGTTAGGATAAAGAACACATTAACCCACTATGGTTGTCTTTTAGACAATTCTCCTGCTACTTGATCAACTCCAGACAAAACGGTTACTCAAACGAGTGGTCGAGTAGCCCTATGGGAGCACTCAACCACACTTCAAAACCCATGCAGTCCTTATGCAATCAATCATTTCAAACAATCTTATGCAAACGCCCGGATAACTCGCATGAGAGTATCCCTTTATCAGTTAAAACAAGTAGTTGAGAAGTTTTTTTCGAGGCGTTTCCAACACTTGTTCCAACATTCATCAACAATTCAGACCCCCTCTTATCAAAGATCAATACAGAGTTCAA